ACGACGACGACAACGACGACGACAACGACGACGACGTCGACGGCACCACCAGCGGCGGCGGCGACGACGTCGAGCACCGGAGCTGTCAACATGACGCCAATCCCAATCCCAGCCACACGCCGCACCCACAGGGGGGGAGGGAGGGAGGGAGGAGGACCATGGCGTCACCCCGCACACACCCACAGCAACACACCACACCCACACCACATCCACAGGGGGGGGGAGCCACCACGCCACACCCACGCCCACGGGGGGGGGGGGGCATCGCGCGGGGGGGGGTGGGCCGATGGCATTAGCATTGGGGGGGGGATGCAACCCTCGACCATATATCCAGATCCACCGCCAGCTGGGGCACCAGGAGCGTCGGGTTTCACCACCAGTGGCCTGTCGCAGATCTGTCGCCGGCGTATCGTCGACTCCAGGTCACTGCTTCCCCCTGCGGAGCCGGTCCCCTCCCTGTCGTGCCCCCTCACAGGAGGAGGAGGAGGAGGAGGAGGAGGAGGAGGAGGAGGAGGAGGAGGAGGAGGAGGAGGAGGAGGAGGAGGAGGAGGAGGAGGAGGAGCAGGTGGAGGAGGAGGAGGAGGAGGTAGGAGGAGGAGGAGGAGGAGGAGGAGGAGCAGGACGAGGAAGGGGAGGAGGATGAGGAGGAGCATCGGACAAAAGAGCCCCTCTAACCCCTTCGAGAGTTCATCGATGATAGGTGTGTGTGTGTGTGTGTTGGCGTCTGTTCAAGCGACTGATGGTCTCTTGCTTCTTGAGTCGGCGGGGGAGGAGGAGGACCGAGACTCTGCTTGCGATCTCCCGAGTGTCCGTCCGTCCTCGCACCGAGGAGGCTCGGCAGGTCTTCGGTGGAAGCGTGGCGTCTGCAGCGGCGCGATGCCGGGCATAGGGGAACAAAAAGTGACATAAACATGAAACTCGGAGGTCCGCGCGGACCTCTGAGTTTTTATGTTTATGCCACTTTTTGTTCCCCTATGCTGGGACCAGAGCGAGAGGGCCTCAGCAGACACATCAGAAACAGACGCAGATACCTTGCATCCAGGTTCTGCTCCTCAAGCTCACCTGTGGAGGGTCTGCCGAGCCTCCTCGGTGCGAGGACGGACGGACACTCGGGAGATCGCAAGCAGAGTCTCGGTCCTCCTCCTCCTCCTCCTCCTCCTCCTCCGCCGACTCAAGAAGCAAGGGCCCATCAGTCGCTTGAACAGACGCCAACGCACACCGATCATCGATGAACTCTCGAAGGGGTTAGAGGCTCTTTTGTCCGATGCTCCTCCTCATCTCCTAGGGCAGCCGTCCTGAAGAGCCGTGCGTGCCGCTGCCGGAGGGGCCGAGAGGCCGCCCCGGGGGCAGGGGCCGCCTCGCCGCGGCTGGCTGCCGTCCGGGGCCGCAGCGAGGCTCCTCGCGGCGCCGGCCCCGCAGCAGCGCGCCGTGGGCTGTGCTCGGGAGGGAAAAAACGTACAGACACAATTAATGGTCGATCGCCCAGAAAAAGTGGGAGGATATGGGAAAAGGGGGGGAAAACAAACCCCCAGAAAATGTGGGAAGATATGGGAAGAGGGGGGGAAGACAAAGGCCCAGAAACTAGGGGAGAATATGGGGAGTCCTGTTGTTTGTGTGTGTAGTTATGTGTGTGTCCCAGGGCCCCTTCAGTGCTCGCGGCCCGGGGGCACACGGGCCAGGCACGGCCGCACGTGTCCCAGGCATCGCCGCGTGTCACCAGCCTGGATCAGATCCCTATCCCTATGATCCCTATCCTGCGTGGGACTATTTTTTGAGTATCTTTTGGCCTTTCTGGGTTATTTTTGGGGTATCTTTTATTTTTTGTCGAACATCTTCTCTGTAGGGGGACACGCCCGACATAACTCTGGCGCCGCCCCGCGGCGCGCTCCTCGCGCCGCGGGGGGTGGGTCCGGCGCCGCCTCGGGAAGTCCGCGCGGAGCTCCGAGAGTTTGTGTGGCTGCTGTTCTCCTTCTGGGCAGGGGTGTCTCGCCAGCCTGGAGCAGATCCCTATCCCTGTGATCGGCATCGCCTCGTCTCGAAGCCGATCTCAGGGCTTCCCTCCGTTTCCGAGGGCGCCTCCCCAAGGTTGTCGTCGACCTCTGCCTTGCTCATCCTAGGGGTAGGGATGCGCTCGAGGCTGGTTAGTGTGCAGCCAGTGCGCGGCCGTGGACGCCGCGCGCGAAGGCGGGGCCCAGGCGCCGCCGTGCTCGGCCGAGGCAAACTGCCCACTCGGGGCGTGTTAAGTGGGGAGGGGGATCAGGGGGGTAAGTAATCGTAGGCAGCCCGTTGCGAAGACTGCTGGAGGCCCTGCCGCGTAGGCGTGCGTTTGCCTCTAATTACGGGGAGGGAGGCCGTGCTGTGCACGAGCTCGCACGCTATGATCGCGCTGTGCTTGCTGTTTTTGGGGCGATGTGCGCTTGCCACCCCTTGAGCGCCGCGGAGGCTTTTGCATGCCTACCTGGATTTTGGGAGAGGGGGAAGGGAGAGAGAGAGAGAGAGAGAGGAAAACAACAAATCCTATAATGAATGTGCTTGCATCCCGAGTCTCTCTCGACAGCATAGGAAGCCTGCACATTTTTTTACGCCAGTGGCAGAAATTGCGGTGTGCTGGCCAGCAGGAGTGCAAGGTGCGCATCGGCAAGTACGAGCTCCTGTTCTACAGCACTTCCGAAGGCCATATGGGCCCTCGACAATCCCTCACCTCGCGAACCTTTGGGCGTTGGCCAGCGATCGAGGAAGAGCGACCCACAGAACGATAACCCTTCGGAGTTCCGCGCGGATCTCTTGGATCTGCGCCTGGCCCCCCACGCGCGGCGCCTCTGGCGTTAAGTCGGGCCTGTCCCCCTACAGCGGGATTTTCGACAAAAATAAAAAATACCCTAGAAATAGTCAAAACATAATCCAAAAATAGTCCGGGGACTATTTTTTGAGTATCTTTTGGCCTTTCTGGGGTATTTTTTGGGTATCTTTTATTTTTTGTCGAACATCTTCTCTGTAGGGGGACACGCCCGACATAACTCTGGCGCTGCCCCGCGGCGCGCTCCTCGCGCCGCGGGGGGGTGGGTCCGGCGCCGCTCCGGGAAGTCCGCGCGGAGCTCCGGGAGTTTGTGCGGCTGCTGTCCTCCTTCTGTCGCAGGCCTAGAGGTCGACACCAACACCAATTTCGGCGGTGTGCCTCCACCAAGGGAAGAAGATCCCGATCTCGGTGATGGTGGTGATATTCTGGCTTCCAAGGCGACCGAAACATTGCCACCAACACCGAAATCTAGGATTGCCTTCCCCCTGTGAAGGCAGCCCCCTGTGTTGGTGTTGGTGCCAATTTCCAGGCCTCCAATTCTGGGCAGGGGTGTCTCGCCAGCCTGGAACAGATCCCCATCCCTGTGATCGGCATCGCCTCGTCTCGATGCCGATCTCAGGGCTTCCCTCCGTTTCCGAGGGCGCCTCCCCTAAGATTGTCGTCGACTCCTGGCTTGTTAATCCTTTAGGGATAGGGATACGTTCGAGGCTGGTTCGTGTGCAGCCAGTGCGCGGCCGTGGACGCCGCGCGAGAAGGCGCGGCCCAGGCGCCGCCGTGCCCGGCCGACGCAGAATGCCCACTCGGGGCGTGTTACGTGGGGAGGGGGAGGATGTCCCAAGGTTGTGTTACGTGGGCGTGTTACGTGGGCCCAAGGTTGTCGTCGACTCCTGGCTTGTTCATCTCAGGGATAGGGATACGTCCGAGGCTGGTCAGAGCAGGGGTGCCGCTGTTTGGTCGGTTCGCCTGCGTCGCCGTCGGTCGCGTGCGGTCGGATCGGGTCGGTCGGCTGCTCTGCCGCCGGCGCGCCGCGGCGCACTGTCGTGGCCGACGGCGTCCTGTCGGTCTGGGCTTCGGCTTCGGTATCGATTCGGTCGATCCTCTCCTCCCTCCTCCCTCCTTCCTCCCTCCTCCTCCTCCTCCTCCTCTTCCTCCTCCTCCTCTTCCTCCTCCTCCTCCTCCTCCTCCTCGCTCGTGCTGTCGCCGTGGGCGCCATTTGTCACCGCCTCGGGCTGGCGGGCCTATGTCGCGGTGAGCTCGACGTGCAGCTCACCCTCTCTGGCGGATCCTTACAGGCGTGGCGGTGCCCGCCCCCAGGGCCGCGCCTGCAGTTTAGGGGTTGGGTTTGGGATTTTTGGGTTGGAGGAGGCAGGAGGAGCAGGACGAGGAGGTGAAGGAGGACGAGGACTAAGAGAGGTCTCGTCCCTTTTTTAGCAGCCCTCTCCCTCTGCCACTCGCCGGTCGGCCATGCCGTGGGGGGGGGGGGCCCTGCGGCCCAACGCAGTTCTGACTTCTTCTCTTCGTGGAGGGCGTCGAGGCCAGTCTCATCGTCGTGGTTCTACCATGACGTGCTCCCGAAAGTCTTGTTTTTTTGCTGGTGACTTCTGATTTCTAAGGATGGTTCTTGTTGATCCACCCTGCGCGGCGCCCATGGTGTTTTTCCAAACGAAGTGGCACTCTCGGGACTCGCACCCGGTGTTTTACCAAGGGAAATCTTGCGCCTCAGACTGTGTTGTTAGCCCTTTCCGCCGCTTGCTCGGCCGATGCCTGCTCGCATGCGTTCGCGGAACAAATTGTCGTTGGTCCCTGATTTACATCGACAGCGGCTCCCGCTGAATAATTCCCCACAGTTCATTCAAAAAGGCGCTCTAGCGGAGGGCATCCTCACAATTTATGCAGGACTTTCGCTCTCGCGTGAGACTTCCTTTCAATTCATTGAAAAGCCGCCCCCTCGGCACTCAGGAATCACGCTCTCGCTCTGGACTTCCTTACGATTTACCTGGAATCGCGCCATCGCTCGAAAATTCCTCGCGATTTAAGCAGGACTGCGGCTTCAGCGACCCGCCCGCTCGACCCGGCCGTCTGGGCCCGCCAGCCAGACCTGCCCGTTAGGGTCCGCCCTCCCGATCCCCGTCTGGTTCTGCCGCTTGATTTCCTGCTCCTAACCCCCCTCCTGCTAATCTCTCTCGTGCTCCATCCTTCTCCCTCCACCCTGTCCCTTCCCTCCTCCCTTCCCTGGTTTTTGGGGCTGCGCCAACTTCACGTGGGAGGTATTGAAGATATACCTCCAAGGGGGGTGCGATGTACGACAGAGAGGGAGGGTATCGAGGTTTTGTGATATACATGTTGAGAGACACGCGAGCAGATAAGAGCGAGCAGTCTTAAACTGATTGTTGTTATTGCTACTGTTTATGAACGTGCGTATATACACAGTGTGCTGTTCTGCTGTTGATGTTGATGATGCTGCTGATGATGCTGCTGCTGATGATGATGGTGATGCTGATGCTGATGCTGATGATGATGCTGCTGATGATGCTGATGATGATAAGGATGGTGATGATGATGATGATGATGATGATGATGATGATGATGATGATGATGATGATGATGATTATGGTGATGATGATGATGCTGATGATGATGAGGATGATGATGATGACGATGATGATGATGATGATAATGATGAAGACGATGATGATGATGATAATGGTGGTGGTGGTGGTGATGATGATGCTGCTGATGATGCCGATGATGATAATGATGATGTTGATCATGATGACGATGATACTGATGATGGCGATGGCGATGGTTCTTATGATCGGGATGAGGATGATGATGAGGATGTTGATGGTGATGATGGTGATGATGATGGGTGTGACGATGATGGTGATGGCGATGCTAATCATTATGATGACGGTATTGCTGATGATGGTGACGGTGATGATGATGATGATCATGATGATGATGATGATGATGATGATGATGATGATGATGATGATGATGATGGTGATGGTGGTGATGCTGATGCTGCTGACGATGAGGATGATGATGAGGATGAGGATGAGGATGAGGATGCTGATGCTGATGATGATGATGATGATGATGATGATGATGATGGGTGTGATGATGATGATGGTGACGGCCATGGTGATGTTGACGATGTTGATGATGCTGCTGTTGATGATCACGATGACGAGGAGGAGGAGGAGGAGGTTGAGGAAGAGGAGGGGTGGACGAGGAGGAGGAGGAGGAGAACCAGCGTGCGGCACGAGTCGTGCAATTGTTGAGTGAAGTACTTGCCACCATGGTGGCCGGCCCTCACTTCGCACCTGTCCGCGCAACCAGGCCTGCGAACTTCTAAGCGGGGCGGTGCGGACCGCGAAGCGCCAATCATAGAAACCACACATGTTGCACGCCTAGAGGATGTGAGGTGTTGGGATGGATCTCTGATGGGGGGGGCAGCGAGGCCCCGCGCGTTCTGAACCCTGATGTGTCATGGGGAACATTGGTGTCGCCCCGCCTCTCAAACCCCCTCAGGGTTTAGACAATATCAGCTGACAATCTATCTGCGTGACCTTCGTTTTAGGATTCTCAGGTGGACCTTGTCAGCCTTCCCTGCCTAACCTGTTGTGCCCGCTGCGCCCACTCGAAACCTGAAGACGGCCGCGGAGCTTGCAAGCCATGGCACCATGGCGGAGGAGGATCATATGTCTAATGAGTTCGGCGAGATCATCACCAATAGGCGGCACCGGATCCCCAGATTCGACCGCCAAGACACGCCTCAACGCCAGCCACGACCAGGGCAGCAGCAACAGCCTCCATTGTGTACACGGATGGTGACGGTGATGATGTGGTGATGGTATGATGATGAGAGTTGCGATTTTGATGGTTAGGGGGGTGGGAGGAGGAGGAGGAGGACCAGGAGGAGGAGGAGTAGGAGGAGGAGGAGGGGGAGGAAGGGTGGGGAGAAGATGATGACAGTATTTTAGATGTCCTTCGTCGGTGTTCTGCAGTTCTTGGGAGATTGACGGGTGCCTCTGGAGGTTTTCAGATACGAAGAATGGTGAGGATTATGATGACGATGATAATCATGATCATGCTGATGCTGCTGATGATCTTGGTGATGATGGCGACGATGCTGCTGATGACGATGGCGATGTTGATGTCTGTGGTGATGCTGTTGCTGCCGTCGATAACAGTGATGATGAACATGCTAATAACGATGATGGTGATGATGACGATGCTGATGCTGATGACGATGACGATGCTGATGTTGATGATAATGATGCTACTGTTGATGTTGCTGCTGATGATGCTGATGGGTGTGATGATGATGATGATGCTGGTGATGCTTATGATCATGATGACGATGTTGATGCTGCTGCTGATGATGCTTATGCTGGTGCTGGTGATGGTGAGGGTGAAGGTGGTGGTGGTTTTGATGATGCTGACCATGATGATGATCATGATGATGACGATGATGCTGATGATGGTGATGACGATGATGATGATGGCGATGATGCTGGTGGTGGTGATTTTGGCTTTGATGACGATGCTGATGCTGCTGCTGATGATGATGATAATGATGATGATGGTGATGGTGGTGGTGGTGATGACGATGGCGGTGCCGATGCTGATGATGATGCTGCTGTTGATGTTGCTGCTGATGATGATGCTGCTGATGATGATGATGCTAGTGATGCTTATGATCATGATGACGATGTTCATGCGTCTGATGATGATGCTGCTGATGCTGCTGATGCTTGTGAGGGTGAGGGTGATGGTGTTGGTTGTTTTGATGATGATGATGATGAGGAGGAGGATGCTGCTGCTGCTGCTGCTGCTGCTGCTACTGCTGCTGATGATGATGATGATGATGATGATGATGATGATGATGATGATGATAGGCATGACGCTGGTGCTGGTGATGGTGGTGGTGGTTTTGATGATGATGAGGATGATGATGATGGTGGTGGTGATGATGATGCTGATGATGATGATGCTGATGCTGATGATGATGTTGATGATGCTGCTGGTGATGATGATGATGATGGTGCTGATGATGATGCTGATGATGATGATGCTAGTGCTGATGCTGATGCTGATGCTGCTTCTGATAAGGATGCTGATGGTGATGATGATGATGATGATGATGATGATGATGGTGGTTGTGGTGGTTGTTGTGGTGGTGATTGTGCCGATGTCGAATGCGATAACGATGATGAGGCTGATGGTGATGGATCTGCTAGTGCTGTTGATTCTGAAATGTATGAGATCACCAGCGAAAGTTTATGATTCTGATCAGGCTGCTGTGCTGAAGATGATGATGCTGAGGAGGGGAAGGAGGACGAGCCCGAGCAGGAGGAGGAGGAGGACGAGGAGGGGCAGGAGCCAGAGCCGGAGCCAGAGCCAGAGCGGGCAGGGAAAGTGGAGGCCACTGGGACCCCATCCAGCGGTTCGACATCGGGCCCCGGATGTCGCTGAGGAGGCGGGCGCCGCCCCACTCGGCACCGCCCGCGCTCGCCCGTGCTCCTCGCGCCTGCCTGCTGCGAGAGGCTGCCGCCGCCCGATGCGCCTCCGCGTCGCTCCTCGGCCTTGCGGCCCTCCCCCCTCCTCCTCCTCCTCCTCCTTGCCTCCTCTTTTTTCTTCTCCTCCTCCCCACCTCCTCCTCCTCCTTGCCTCCTCTTTCTTCTCCTCCTCCCTACCTCCTCCTCCTCCTCCTACTTCCTCCTCCTCCTCCTCCTTCCTCCTCCTTGCCTCCTCTTTTTTTTCTCCTCCTCCTCCTGTTCTCCTCCTCCTCCTCCTCCTCCCTCCCTCCTCCTCCTCCTCCTCCTCCTCCCCTCCTCCTCCCTCCTCCTCCTCCTCCTCCTCCTCCTCCTCCTCCTCCTCCTCCTCCTCCTCCTCCTCCTCCCCTCCTCCCTACCTCCATACCTCCCTCCCTCCTCCCTCCGCCCCCCGAGGCCCTAGCCGGCTCAGGCGATCTTGGTGGAACGACAGCGGTTGCGCGCCTGCCTTTGAACGGGGCTCCACTGTGTTGCCCGCGCAGCCTTCACCGTACAGTCCGTTCAGACCCTGCCCAGAGCAGGGGCAGAGGTCGACCGCGACAGAAGCGGGCTGGTACCGCAGAGAGCGAGCACGCCGAGCGAACGACGGGTTCTTGCTGTGAGTAGCATTGGTCGTGGCACGGATATCTCAGCATCGCAGTGCGCAGCCAGATACGAGATACCATGCAGCCGTTCCAACATCTATTCTTCTTCAGTGTGTCTTTCGTCCCGTCCACCACCAGCGACCAAAGTTAGCGATCCGATCCAGAACCAATCGACGATGCTCCATGGCATCAGGTACGGGAGACGGAACAGGCCGCCGAGAAACGACTGGAACAGGTGTTGGCCAAACAATATTACCAGCGGGTCAGAGACCAGATCCAAGTCAGGGGCGCCAGGATGGAGACGCCAAGATGACGTGGAAGTATCAGTTCCCCTCCCATTGGGACCAGCACAGCCGCATGTCGCAGAAAGACACAGGCTGTGGGTCCCCATGCTAGAGGAACCTAAGGAGCTCCGACAGCACCGGCGCAGGCTGAAGGCGCAGGTCGACGCCATCGAGAGACAGGTCAATGTTGCCTACAGCCTTGGTCGCACCAAGGTCATAATCAAAAAGCTAGAGATGGATTTCGCATTCGCGTTGTGCCAAATGATGCTTGCCAGGCCGCCAGAGGAGCGCGCCAGGCGCCAGGCACCAGTGGCAGTATGTGGAGAGAGCGGCCGGGCGACTCGAGGAGGCGGAACTCATCGAGGAGGAGGAGGAGGCAAACAAGTCCTTGGAAGCAGCTGCAAACCAGGCATGTGCAAAACGACGTGACGCAGGCACAGACGCTTTTGGAACACTTCGAGCGCCTCGCCACACAGGCAAGCATCAAACAAAACGTTTTATCACACGATGAGGAGGGTGAAGAGGTGGAGGTCAGGGCCAACCTGGTGAGCCCAGTCGACAAGGTCAGGTCAACAGCTGTGGAACAGACCAGCCCCTTAGCGGTCATCGCCGCCATCCAGGCGAACGACACGAACATGGTGGCCCAGCTGTCAACATTGGCAGCGCAGCTCAACCATCTACATATGTCGGGGACTCACGCAGATACATCACCACCGCGGGCTGGTTTTCTGTCATCGGGGTTGATCGGATTATTGTTTCGGCGGTAGGTTGCAGGGTGCGTCAAATCTCGCGGTAATGACGTGTCGCGTGTGCAGCGTCATTCGGGCACGCGGTTGCATGCGCTTATCCAACACTCACGTGGTGAATCTTTCGGGGTGTTGTATAACATCCACGGGGGTCCATCGTTTTCATACACCACCACCGTGCGTGCCTGGGAGCCATTACTCGCGACCGACTGCGGCCACCATCTGCGTGCATGACCACGTGGCAAGTACTGGCGCTTGGCGGGGGCAGGCAGTGGTACCCCTGTCAGGGCGATCGCGCGCAGGATTTTTTCCTTTCGTGTGGCCGCCTTGTGGTGGTGTATATATTGGGGCCCCACAGGATGTGCTTGGACCAGGCGGGCATCCTCCCGCAGGCAGCGTCAGCATCCTCAGCATGAGCGCGCTTGCCAACGCCAGCAGCAGCAGCAGCAACAGACGCAGCAACGCCGCTGCCACCGTAGTCCCAGCAACTTCAGCAGCATCAGCAGGTTGCGGCAACACCGCCACAAGCAGCTGACAGTACGATCAAGTCCGATGCCACTGCCGAACCCAGTGTACTCATCAGGGGTGACACGGGTGCAGGGGTGGTGGCAGGGCCAGCCCAGAGGCAAAGAGGTCACCCAGGCGTCGAAGAAGAACCGCAGACGCTCCAAGGCCGCCGCTGACAAGGTCAAGACCTGCGTCGGAACGGAAAGTGAGACCATCGGGCTCGAGGACTCCGACGGCCAGCCGGAGGATTGCCCACCCATTTTTTCGCGAAATATTTTGCAAGCTGAAAGGGTTCCCTCCAGGACCCCCTCGTCATCCACCCGTCAGCATTCAGGCGGCACAGCGGAATGCCCGCGCCAGTTCAGGGGGCGGGGGTTCGGACGAAGCCAGGACCCATGTGCGGTGGAGGCAGATGTCAGGCGTCATCCAGGCGGGCGCGGATGTCACGGGACAGATGCTCGTGCGCGCTGCTAGGCAGCGCCCGCCTCTAGTCGCCGCCCTGGACGAGAAGGCTTCATGGGGCCGAAGATTTCACGTCGTCGCGGAGCTCGCTCGGCACCCGCTTGGCACCCGCTGAGGAGAATCGCGCGCAGAGCCATGAGGCAGTGAAGGACACAGGAATAAATCTAGATTTCCTGGACTCCCTGACCGCTTCATCCCAGCTGTTCAACGCCTGCGATTGGCGCGGCGTCGCAAAGACGCGGGATTTATTGTGGCTGCGGGTAGTGTTGCTAAACGCAGTGCTGCCGCCCAGCATCCGAGATCCGACGACGCTGCGGCGGGCGGCGGTCGCGCGGTTGCTGCCGCGGTGCGTCGCGCATATATGCGCGCGCATCCGCGTGTGCGCAGGATGCGCGCAAATATGCGATTACTGCGTGTGCGTTCTGCCGTCCTGCAAGGTATGGTAGCTCTGGTGTATCAGCAGTATGAAGTGTCCTGGTAACATAGCGCGCGTGGTTTCTTGATGTGGCCACGATGTGCGGCGACGACATTGTGCGACTCACCGGTCGCGCGATTAATAGTGCAGCCCTGGGAACATGTGTTTTTCAAGTCGCACTTTGCGTGGCGGAGGTTATTCAATGGTGCGCCGGGGAGGGGCGCGGCGCCTGCGTGTCGTTTCTGATGCGCCGCCGAAGCTGAAGCCGACTTTTCCAAGCAGGTCAGACAGCGTGGAGTCCCACTTTCGACAGCATATCCCGAGCGCCCACTGCAGGAGGCGGAGGTTCGAAGCGGGCCCCCCCTTCGAGCGCCCATGGCGCCGCGCTGGGTTCCCAAATGCAGGCCCTCCAGCAGCGCGTCGTTAAGCAGCGCTGCGCGGTCGTGAAGCGTGTTGAATAATTCGTCCTAGGACCAAGTGGCGAGCGCCGAGCGCGTGCCGCATCATATACACACAGCCGATCGGTGAGTGAGGGGGAACCTGGCATTGGAATCGGCTAGGTTCTGCTTGGCGTATTTCTATGCGCGGAGCGGAGGCCCCGCCCGCGCTGGCGAGGCAATGGGCGCCAGGGGCATTTCAGACATGCTGCAGCAGAGAAGATCTGGCTTAGGCTGCTGGAGTCGCATTGTTTGGCTACGCCGCGCATGCCGCCCGAGGGCCCCGCGCGGGGATCCAGTTGGGTCCTCGCGGACTCCATGGCGTGAGGACCAGGCCGAAAAAGCGTTTCGGGGTTCCACGTGCGAGCTACACGAGGAGTCCTGACAAGTGCTCAGACGTGCGCCGCCTGATGGCCCTGACTAAGCACAGCCCCTGGATCAACCAATCTGGAAGATAGGTTTTACATGAGCCGACGGCGTGATTACCAGGCGCATCTGCGTCTGTTGTGTTAGCGCGCATGCGACGTGGAAGTCTTCGTGCTGAATGTGTTCCCAGGGCGGCGCCGCGAAGGAGACGTTCAGTCACGCGTCGAGGCTGCAGCAGTTCTGCCAAGCTGCCAGATCACAGTGCCTTCAGTCGATATTGCAATGCGCGAGATCAAGGGTGACCCGACCAACAGCAGCACGATTGCAAAGACGGGGGGGGGCATGGAATACAGGGATGGGGGGTGGGGGGTGGGGGGCGGGGGTATGTGAAACATTGCGACCTGCGCGCTTGTTGGAAGCCCCCCCTCCCGCGCGCGGCGAATCTGTGTGGGGCGCGGGGCTTCCTCAGAGCCTTGGCGAGCGCGCGGGTGTCCAGTTCGTGCGTGTTCGACCAATGCAGCTGCCAGGACGGGGGCCAATTAGAGTGCGGGAGGGCTCCCTCGCAGACGCTATCAATGCGCGTGCCAGTTCTTTACCCATCCCTCACAACCAACAACAGAGGCAGGTGCCTTCACGAGAAAGGTGCGTTTCTACCGTTGCCGGGCACATCGGCAGGCGGATCTTTCAGGACAGCTGTAACAAACAAGCACCCGTCCAGAATGTGCGGTGCCATTGCGGCACGATTTTTGGAACGAATTGCCAGAATGTGTGATGCCGTCGCTCAATGTGAGGTTGGCCCAGGGCACGTATGTTGCGCTCTCAGGGACCTGCGCGTGGCTTGGAACTCAGAATCGTGTTGTGAGTTTTACGCTCCCTGGGGTTACGCCATATGGGGAAGGGCCACAGGTGACCGTGAACCATCTAGAGTGAAAAGGCCTTGTGGCCGATGCCGCCGACCCTGAAAACGACGACGCTGACCACGACGAGGTAGAAGGAGGAGGAGGCGGAGGAGGAGGAATCGCATGAAGAGGAGGCGGAGGAGGACGTGGAGGATGTGGAGGAGGTGAAAAAGAGGAGCAGGAAACGGAAGGGGTGGGTGACGAGGACGCGGAAGAACATGAAG